CATCACGGGGGCACAGAAGGGAATTGGTGAGGTTTTATTCACCAAGGCGCCCCCGGGGGTTACAAGAAATAATGGCCACAAGCTAGCAGAGAGCAGATTTAGACTGGACATTAGGAAGAACTTCACAGTTAGAGTGGCCAAGGTCTGGAATGGGCTCCCAAGGGAGGTGGTGCTCTCCCCTACCCTGAGGGTCTTCAAGAGGAGGTTGGATATGCGTCTAGCTGGGGTCATCTAGACCCAGCACTATTTCCTGACTATGCAGGGGGTCGGACTCAATGATCTATTGAGGTCCCTTCAGACCCTAGCATCTATGAATCTATGAATCCTCTGCTGTCCCCGGGCCCCCCAGCCCATGACCCGAGGCCCAGGCACTCCTGTGCTACCTTTGTTGATTTTCCCCACAACAGAGACTTCTAGCCACCGCGTGTTGTCCTTCTTGGAGTAGAGGCCGAAGAGCACACCGCCCTGCTTGGGGGGCAAGCGAAAGGTAGACAGCAGGTAGGCGTCGTTCACCGTCAGCAACTCTGTCCGGATCTTGTGTGCCACGTTCACCATCTGCCGGGCCTCCGTCACCATCAGCAGATCTATGACTGCAGGATGGACAGACAGATGGACAGTCATGTCTGAGTGTCACAATGCCAGCAGGGCCACCAGAGTGATAGGCTAGTCCATGACTCCGCAGACAAGGACTGCTCCCCATGCAGCCCTTGGAAAGCTGTCCCCAGCCAGGCCCTTGCTGGCTGGAGCAGGGTTCATGGAAGTGCTGCCAGAGCCAGAGGCAGATGGATGGGTGCAGGCAGCAAACTCACCTCCCGCCTGGCAGCAGAGCAGAGCAAGGAGCCCCAGGAGGGCTCCTTCCACTGTCCCTGAGGCAGAACTGGGGGCTCCTGTCCAGCTCCTCAGAGCCCCACAGGCCTGCACCCTCCCATCTCACCAGCCCCACGTCCCTCCTCTTCCTTCCACAGTTCGGTGTAGAGGCCAAGAGGTCCTCAGGGCAGCCCTGCCATGTGCTCACTCCACTGCAGCCACGGGGGGAGAAACCCAGCACCCCGTGCCCAGCCGGGAGGTATGGCAGAAGTGGGAAGTGCGCCCCAGGAGGTGGCGCCTTTGGGCCATGGACAGAGCTGGCCAAACACTGCTGGGCACTACCCAGGGTCTGGGGCAGGTCAACCCCCACCACCACCAGTCCTGTGGCAGGGGCACAAGGCTGGAGGGGAGCTACTGGCATTGGGACCCCGCACCCATAGGCAGCTGGCTCTGGACTGGGTCCAGGCCACCAGCACGTGCGGAGGGAACCTGCTGGACCCCAACCCCTGCCCTCCCTGGCTCAGAGCCGGGATGAGCGTGGAGCCGCCACATGCTACAGGACTTGGGGCCTCCCGGCTCCCTGAAGTCCCGGATCTGGCCTGTTCACCTTTCTGACCCCCAAGCTCCTTAGGCTGGCAGCACAGGCCTGGAGCCAGGCTGGACCCCTGCACTGCCCTGGCTGGACAGCAGGTCCGGCCGCCCAAGGCAGGTCAAGCAGAGGGTTGTAGTCAGCCTCCGCGGTCCCTGCAGGGGCTAGGGACTCCAGCAGCATCACCCTGGAGCTGCTCTGCGGTTTCCCTCAGGCTGGGGGAAGAATATCCCTCTGTGCTGCAGCCGCCCAGCCGAGTGCCAGACCTCCCAGGGAGAGGCA